ACTTTTTGCTCAAGCAAACCAAATCCTCCCAACTCTAACGAAATTTGAAATTTTTGAATCTTATGAATAATAACACTACACTAAATTTAATATAATATGTAGTTAAACATAACATCTGCAATGTTTTTAATAATGGACTTCCCCTGCGTTTGACGAACAGTCGACCAAATCCCGTTTCTTTAAAAAAATCATAAAATCTGATTTTGGGAAATTCTATTTATGGCAATCTCTACACATTAAAACAAATATGTATATACAAACAATACCAGAATTTCCAATAAGTTTATTGTACAACTGAAATAGCGTGCAAAAAGTTAAAATGAAGAACATTAACGTTGATATCGTGACCATATAAAATATTAGACCTGACTCTTTTTGATACTAGAACTAGTAGAACAGATGCATTTAAATATATCAATAAATTATATTGTTAATATGTAATGCTAAGTAGGAGAAAAAAGACTAAAATCTTGCAGTTTTTCACATTTATTTCGTTTCTTTTAATCATTTTAGCAAACAGATCTTCTAAAAAATGAGTTTCTAAAATCTTTTTATAAAATTTACGTAGTGTAAGAAACGCTGTTTATTTAAAATCCGCTAATTGGATAACTGTAAAATTGAAAAATTATTAAACTATAAAACTAAAAAATTGCATAAATATAAAATTGAAAATAGAATAATTTTAAAATAGAAAAATTGAAAATCAGATAACTGTAGAACCGAAATTTTCCTAAATTTAAAAATAAAAAAAATGCGAAATTATGACATTAAAAAATTTAAAACTTGAAATTGAAAATCAAAATTTTGAAAAATTAAAAACTACTAAACTAAACTTCAAAATCGAAACAATGAAATTCAGATTATTAAAAAATTAAACATTAAACAGAAATCCAAAAATTGTAAAAATATAAAACTGTAAAATCAAAAAATTAGAAAATGATTAATCTGTAAATCCAAAAAGTTGCAAAAGTATAAACTTATAAATCGAATAATTTTAAAATCGAATAGTTCCAAAACTAAAAAATTGCAAAATCTAAAACTGGAAATCGAAATTTTGAAAAATTAAAAATCAAAAAATTGGAAAATTAGAATAACTGAAAAACGGGACAGACGAGAAATCGAAAAATTGTAAAAACATAAAACTGAAAAATGAAAAAATTGCAAAATTACAAATTTGGGTAGTTGTAAAATCTAAAAAGTATTAAACTGTAAACTTGAAAAGTTGCAAAAATATAAAACTGAAAAATTGAAAAATCATATAATTATAAAACAGAAAAACTACAAAATTTAAAAATCGAAAAATTGCGCAATGCAATAATGACTTATAATAAACTTGAAAAATTAAAAATCGAAATTTTGAAAAATTAAAAATTAAAAAAAGTTGAAAAATCCAAACAATGAAATTCGGATAACTGAAAACTCAAGAACTGAATGACTACAAAAGCGGAAAATTTTAAAAATGAAGAATTATAAAATTGAAAATTGAGGCATTAACTAAAAACCCAATGAGGCATCCTAGAATTGTAAAAACGTAAAATTGGAAAATCAAAAAAGTATAAAATCAAAAAATTGCAAAATCGAATACCTTTAAAAACGAAAAATTGTAAAACAAACTGAGAAATTGAATTTAAAACTGCAAAATTGAAAAATATTGTATAATTGTAAACTGAAAAATTTTTTAAACTGTAAAAATGAAAAATTGTAAAATTATTAAATTGAAAAATCGAACAATTGAAAAATAAAAAATCGAAAAATTGAAAAACCGAAGGATCCCAAAACCGAAAAATTTAAAAGTCGAGAAATTGAAAACATCTGATAATTTAAAAATCAAAAACCTGATTAATTTTTAAACTAGGCAATTGAGAAATAAAAAAAAGATATAAATATGAAACTGGAAAGTCCTATAATTTTAAAATTGAAAAATTGAAAAATCAAGCAATTTTAAAATAGAAAAATTACAAAATTGAAAAATTGCAGAATTATGAAATTGAAAAATCAAAAACTTGGAAAATTGGAAATCAAAATTTTGAAATATTTAAAATCAAAACATTAGAAAATTGAAACAATGAATTTCGGATAATTGAAAAATCAAAAACTGAAAGATCGGATATCTTCAAAAACGAAAAATTTTTAAGTAAAAAATCAAAAACTTGAACAATTAAAATTGCAATTTTTAACAATTAAAAACCAAAATTTTGAAATTTGTAAAATTGTAAAATCAAAAAATTATTAAACTATGCATATAATAAAAATTACTAAATCGCAAAAACGAAACATCATTAACTTGAAAATTCAAGAAATTGAAAAATCTGTAGACTGTAAAATCAAAAGAAAAAAAAATCCAAAAATTTTGAAACCTAAAGATCTTAAAATTCAACATCAAATATCAAGCAAGTGAAAAATGAAAAAATCGAGATACTGCAAAATCTAATTATTGAAAAATTAATTCATTAAAAACCGAACAATCATATTATTATAGAATAGAAAAACTACAAAATTTAAAAATCGAAAAATTGCGCAATAATGACATTGAAAAATCAAAAATTTGAAAAATTAAAAATCGAAATTTTGAAAAATCGAAAATTGAGGCATTAATTAAAAACCCAATGAGGTATCCTAGAATTGTAAAAACGTAAAATTGAAAAATCAAAAAATTGCAAAATCGAATATCTTTAAAAACGAAAAATTGTAAAACAAACTGAGAAATTGAATTTAAAACTGCAAAATTGAAAAATATTGTATAATTGTAAACTGAAAAATTTTTTAAACTGTAAAAATGAAAAATTGTAAAATTATTAAATTGAAAAATCGAACAATTGAAAAATAAAAAATCGAAAAATTGAAAAACCGAAGGATCCCAAAACCGAAAAATTTAAAAGTCGAGAAATTGAAAACATCTGATAATTTAAAAATCAAAAACCTGATTAATTTTTAAACTAGGCAATTGAGAAATAAAAAAAAGATATAAATATGAAACTGGAAAGTCCTATAATTTTAAAATTGAAAAATTGAAAAATCAAGCAATTTTAAAATAGAAAAATTACAAAATTGAAAAATTGCAGAATTATGAAATTGAAAAATCAAAAACTTGGAAAATTGGAAATCAAAATTTTGAAATATTTAAAATCAAAACATTAGAAAATTGAAACAATGAATTTCGGATAATTGAAAAATCAAAAACTGAAAGATCGGATATCTTCAAAAACGAAAAATTTTTAAGTAAAAAATCAAAAACTTGAACAATTAAAATTGCAATTTTTAACAATTAAAAACCAAAATTTTGAAATTTGTAAAATTGTAAAATCAAAAAATTATTAAACTATGCATATAATAAAAATTACTAAATCGCAAAAACGAAACATCATTAACTTGAAAATTCAAGAAATTGAAAAATCTGTAGACTGTAAAATCAAAAGAAAAAAAAAATCCAAAAATTTTGAAACCGAAAGATCTTAAAATTCAACATCAAATATCAAGCAAGTGAAAAATGAAAAAATCGACATACTGCAAAATTTAATTATTGAAAAATTAATTCATTAAAAACCGAACAATTGAAAAATCGAAAAATTCTATTAAATTATAAAACGAAAAAATAAAAAAATTATAAAATGGGAACACTGGTTGTAAATTATTTAGACAGAATTTCCCTCGCCCCTGGAGTACATTACAATAAATCTAGCTTTTTTATGATAACCCCAATAAGTTAAAATAAAGTTGTATTTCAAGCGACCGTTTCCATTACAAAATTTTGTGATGAGGTCATCAACACTTTTGCAAGAACACGTATATAAATTTGGATAAATGCACTCTATCACTAATAATAATAACCGAACTGGATTTCCAAATGTTTTTGAAAATGGAGTTTTTTATTTAGTCAATAAAATAAATTGCCTCATTCATTAACTGTTTAAATCAGTCTGTATAAGTAATTCAATAATTCAAAAAGTACAGAGTCAAAATATTTTGCTTATTTTGGAGAGGATTTTGTCAGTACTTCTGGCGGGGAATCTGTTTCGTCCCTCCCCACCCGTAAGGGTTGGAGTCAGAGCCAACTTTCCTTTGGAGCACAGGGTAGCTAAATAAGATTATTCACTCAATCATTCTCGATTCTTCATTCATCATTCAATTATTATTCATTCATTCTTCAAGCACTCAACATCACTCACTCTGTATTTATTTTATGGACCCTACGGTCATATTCTATCCTAAAAGTTACACGTGTTATTTGTTAAATAAAATTCGTAAAGGACTGTTTGCTGCTCTTATTCATATTCGCATGGCAAATTTTGATTAATTATTTGCCATGACTACAATAACCTCAAATGATTGGCAAGATTTCAGAGCATTCGGTTTTGCAGTTTCAAAGTTAAATTGCAAAATGTTGTCATACAATTTTGATTTTTTTCCAAAAATCTGGATGTCTAGCGTGAAAAGTCAGCACGGATTCATGCATCACGAGTGCAGGAGTATCTTATTTTTTAAAATATAAAAAAAGTAACTTAGACTCAATAGATAAAAATTAAAACTCTTTTTGTTTTATTGCGATTTAGGAATATGACAATCCATACACGCGACAACCCACATATCGCACTGAAATTACGTCACCAACATTTCATATAGTATTCCATCCGAAAAAATAAAAATTCTGTTCCACCAAAGATTTTCCTGCCTCACGCACACGTCACACAACATGACACAGAATCATGCAAAGACGTAGATTTAATAATACCTTTTTGTTGTCCCTGAATTTCAGCCATCCTGCTATGACGGTTTGATCCGGTGTTGTTGGAATTTCCGTAAACAGTTGGTCCCCCTCACCGTCAGAGTCCGTAAGGATGTCGGGCGCATGACTCCCTATGCTCCTCGCAGGAGAACTGCAGCAGGATTCGGTCAACCTCCTGCTCAGCAACGGCGAATTGTATGCGCTTTCGGACATCTCTTTATCTTATTAATTATAAACGACAAAGTTTTTTGTTCCGGGTGTCTCCTCCGGGTATTTGCTTGTGTCGTGGCTTTATTTGTGAAGCTGGGGGGAGATACGAGTATTAATCAAGTTTACATAACCCTAAACTGGTTTGTTAAGCCGAAATACTCCTTAAATTCTCGGCAAATTTGGCGGAGCTGTTTGTGCTCGACATGGTTTTTACATGTATTTTTTACCTGTACGTGCATTATTTGTTAAATTTATAACACTTAAAGCTTTCAACATTATTTGGGATTTCAGGTTGTTTCGAATTCATAAACATTCTTGACGCACATAATTTTTTATGTTTGTTTACAAGAACAAAGAACAGTTGGGTCACAATTAAAAATTCGAAAGCGATTAATGTTCGTTTTTGTTTGCCGATGTAACGAGGTATTCTAAAGACCGGATTAAAAACATAAACCGAATAAATTTTTCACGTGCGGGAAAATATTCAGCCGAAATTAAACATCTTAGCGTCTAGGAAGAATAAAAAACGTCATCCTCGATTTTCGAGCACGAAGATTTAAGCAACTTTTGTCCGCTAGGAACTTTTCGAAACTTTCCAATAATAAGTTTTCAAGTTATTGTGCTCCGAGGTCGGTCACTTTATGTCCCACAAGAATTGCCACATCAAGAAACGAGCAACACAAAAAAGAACGAGCATTTTTCTCGTAATATATGTATGAAAGTTTGAAATGAAGATTTATTGTTAAGCCGCCATGATTTTCGACATTTTCAACCTTCCTCTGTTGATTTTTGAATTAAAAGTGTATACTGCGATATTTGCATTTCGGGTGAATTAATTTCGAGGCGCGCCTCAGAATATTTTATTTAAGAGATTAGAGTTTTGTCAACTCCGGCTTTTATTAATATGAATCTCGCATAATTTGGATGGAAAAATCCGCGGTGCACATATTTTACCTTTATTAATGGAAATAATTCTCAAAAAAATAATAAAGGTAAAAGACTTTAATTATAATCTGGATAACTGAAAATTGTGAAAATATTTTTCAGGATTCATTGTATTTTCAGACAAAGCGAGGAGCGACAATGCCGTGGTAAGAACTGACGCAACGAACGGGGTGACGAAGTGTTGTCTTCATTCGAGTTTCTGACATGACGAAAAATTAATTGCTCTTTACTTTATAACAACCACGACCAATTAAACGTGCACTAATTAATTTCGGAAAATTGTTTGAGAAAAACAATATGTTGTCGGCCACTACATTTGTAATAACAAATTTCGGTCATATATCATTTAGAATGCGGTCAAACAATCTACCACTGCTGAAATGTAAGCACACAACTCTATATTATCTGAGTCGACCTTTTTACTGCAGCATGGAGTTTTGTAAAAAATCTCATTTACTCTTGGGAAACTTTTCGCATTTTATTTCCACTCAATGGCTACAATTAATGCTGTAAGATGGAGCGGCTTCAGACGGTTTTTTTATTTAACCACAGTTGCATTAGTTTTTTGGAAAGATAACTTTATTGTTAAATTTGGCGAAAGTGACAAGTAGGTAAGTTTGAAATTTATAAGGTAATTATTAAACTTTTTTGTAACTTTCCAGAATTTCAGAGAAATTATTTATGCTGAAAGGAATATCAAGGTATCTATCATTCAAAGATTTCATGAAGTTAAAAAAAAATTAAGTTCCTAAATAAATTGAAAAATTGAAATACTGAAAAGTCGAAACATCGAAATATCGAAAAATCGAGAAATTAAACAATCGAAAAATCGGAACATTGAAATCTCTATAAATGCAGAAATCGGAAAATTGGAAAATGGAAAAATCTAAAATTTAAAAAATCGAGAATTAAAATGTCGAAAAATTGAAAAATCGAACAATTAAAAAACTGAAAAATCTAAAACGAGAAGTCCAAAGATCGAAAGATCGGGAAGTAGGAACAACAAAAAAACTGAAAAATCCGAAATTTTAAAAATTAAGAAAATTGAAAATAGAAAAATCGAAAAATCGAGACGTCGAAAAACCTAAAATTTAAAATATCGAAAAATAAAATGTACAAAAATTGAAGAATCGAAAACTTGAAAAATTGAAAAGATGAAAATTGAAAAATCCCTAGACTGTAACATGGAAAAATTGATAAATCGATAAATCGAAATATCAAAAAACTGAATAATGAAGAAAAATTGAAGAACGAAAAACTGAAAACTCTAAAATCGAAAAGTCAAAAAATCTAGAAATCGAAAATTTAGAAACCCCAAAAACTGAAAAATTTAGAATGGTAAAATTCAGAAATCGTAAAACGGAAATATTAGTATATTGAAAAATCGAAAAATAAGATATAGAGAATTAAAAAAATGGAAAAATGGAAAAATAAAAAAATCGAAAATCGAAACGACAAAAAAATGAAAAACGGGAAAATGGGAAAACGAAAAAATAGAAAATTCGAGAGTCAAAGAGTCAAAATTTCGAGAAATCTAAAAGTTGAAAAATTGATTAAAGGTAAAATCGAAAATTTAAAAACTTCAGAAATTAAAAAATTGAAAAATCGAAAAATTGAAAAATCTAAAAATTGAAAAATCGCAAAACGGAAAAATAGAAAATAAGCAGTCGAAAATTTAAAAAAATGGAAAAATCGAGAAATTGAAAAAGTGAAAAGGTAAAACATTGAAAAAAATTGAAGAAAAAAAATAAAAAAAAAGCCGAAGAAAAATTGAAGAATTCAAGAATGGAAAAGCTGAAAAACCAGAAATCGAAAAGTTCAGAAATCGAAAAATGTCAAAATCAAGAAATCGAAAAATTTAGGTCGGAAAGTCAAAACTCGAGAAATCTAATTTACGAACCCATAAATCGAAAAATTGAAACATTCAGAAATCGAGAAATCGAGAAGTCTAAAAAGCAATAAATCAAAATTAAAAATTGAAAATTTAAATTTAAAAAAAAAACAGTAAGTAAACCGAAAAATCAAAAAAATTGAAACATCAAAAAACCGAGAAATTGAAATAACCCAAAGTTGAAAAATGGAAAAAAAGGTAAATCGGAAAATTTAAATATTCAAAAATTGAAAAATCCCAAACTTTAGAAAAATGGAAAAATGGAACAATAAAAAAAATCGAGAATTGAAACAACAAAAAACTGAAAAACGGGAAAATTAAGAAATCGAAAAGTCGAAATAGAGAAATGGGAAAACGAAAAAATAGAAAATTCGAAAGTCAAAGAGTCAAAATTTCGTGAAATGTAAAAGTTGAAAAATTGATTAAAGGTAAAATCGAAAATTTAGAAACTTCAGAAATTAAAAAATTGAAAAATCGAAAAATTGAAAAATTTAAAAATTGAAAAATCGCAAAACGGAAAAATAGAAAATAAGCAGTCGAAAATAAAAAAAATTGAAAAATCGAGAAATTGAAAAAGTGAAAAGCTAAAACATTGAAAAAAATTGAAGAAAAAAAAATCAAAAAGAGAAAAATTCGCAGAAAAATTGAAGAATTCAAGAATTGAAAAATTGAAAAACCAGAAATCGAAAAGTCGAGCATCGAAAAGTTCAGAAATCGAGAAATGTCAAAATCAAGAAATCGAAAAATTTAGGTCGGAAAGTCAAAAATCGAGAAATCTAAATTTACGAACCCATAAATCGAAAAATTGAAACATCCAGGAATCAAGAAATCGAGAAGTCGAAATAGCATTAGATAAAAAATTAAAAATTGAAAAATTGAAAATTTAAATTTAAAAAAAAACGATAAGTAAATCGAAAAATCAAAAATAAAAAAAATTGATACATCAATAAACCGAGAAATTGAAATAATCCAACGTTGAAAAATGAAAAAAAAAGATAAATCGGAAAATCTAAATATTAAAAAATTGAAAAATCCCAAACTTTGGAAAAATGGAAAAATGGAAAAATAAAAAAATCTAGAATCGAAACAACAAAAAACTGAATAATGGGAAAGTGAAGAACTTGAAAAGTCGTAATAGAGAAATAAGAAAATGAAAAAATCGAACAATTTGAAAGTTAACACGTCAAAATTTCGAGAAATCTTAAAGTTGAAAAATTGATTAAAGGTAAATTCGAAAATTTAGAAACACCAGAAATTAAAAAATTGAAAAAACGAAAAATTGAAGAATCGAAAAATTGAAAAATCGCAAAACGGAAAATAGAAAATAAGCAGTCGAAAATAAAAAAAATAGAAAAATCGAGGAATTGAAAAAGTGAAAAGCTAAAACATTGAAAAAAATTGAAGAAAAAAAATCGAAAAGAAAAAAAATCGAAAAAAAATTGAAGAATTCAAAAATTGAAAATCTGAAAAACCAGAAATCGAAAAGTCGAGCATCGAAAAGTTCAGAAATCGAGAAATGTCAAAATTAAGAAATCGAAAAATTTAGGTCGGAAAGTCAAAAATCGAGAAATCTAAATTTACGAACCCATAAATCGAAAAATTGAAACATCCAGGAATCAAGAAATCGAGAAGTCGAAATAGCATTAAATAAAAAATTAAAAATTGAAAAATTGAAAATTTAAATTTAAAAAAAAAGATTAGTAAATCGAAAAATCAAAAAATAAAAAAAATTGAAACATCAAAAAACCGAGAAATTGAAATAACTCAAAGTTGAAAAATGAAAAAAAGATAAATCGGAAAATCTAAATATTAAAAAAATTAAAAATCCCAAACTTTGGAAAAATGTAAAAATGTTAAAATAAAAAAAAATCGAGAGTTGAAACAACAACTAACTGAAAAATGGGAAAGTGAAGAAGTTGAAAAGTCGTAACAGATAAATAGGAAAATGAAAAAATCGAAAATTTAGAAACACCAGAAATTAAAAAATTGAAAAATCGACAAATTGAAGCATCGAAAAATTGAAAAATCGCAAAACGGAAAAATAGAAAATAAGCAGTCGAAAATAAAAAAAATCGAAAAATCGAGAAATTGAAAAAGTGAAAAGCTAAAACATTGAAAAAAATTGAAGAAAAAAAAATCGAAAAGAGAAAAATTCGAAGAAAAATTGGAGAATTCAAGAATTGAAAAACTGAAAAACCAGAAATCGAAAAGTCGAGCATCGAAAAATTCAGAAAACGAGAAATGTCAAAATTAAGAAATCGAAAAATTTAGGTCGGAAAGTCAAAAATCGAGAAATCTAAATTTAGGAACCCATAAATTGAAAAATTGAAAAATATAAATTTGAAGAGTCGAAAAACTGGAAAATCCACAAATTGAATGACTAAAAATTGATTAAGTTAAATTAAATTTATTAACAAATGGAAAAATTCAAGAATCAAAAAATTCTGCAAGTGTAAGAAAAATTGATCGAAGGCTATTTTGGCTGTAAAATACACAGGTACAGAGTAAGAAATTTTGCATATTTCAGAGAGATTAGGCAAAATTTTGGAAGGGGTAAACAAATAAATTTTGATTAACGATTTACCATGACAACGATAACCTCAAAGATTTCAGAGTATTCAATTTTGCCGTTTTAAAGCTAAATTACTAAATGTTTGACTTTGATTTTTTTTTCCAGAAATCTGGATGATCTTCGCTTACGCTCAGGAAGCGTTAACGTAGCGGAAGAAACACTGTTAGGTTGCTAAATACAGTATTAAAAAACCACATTAAATTACTATCGTGCTCACCGGTCATCAACAGTCATTGATGATTCTTGTTTACCCACTCTAATAATTCCCAAAATCAAAATGACAGTTCGTCATGCACGCGCCATCCGCAACTCCAAATTAACAAATTATCAGAGCTCGTACAAAGTTTCGTGGAAATTTCGGCTCAACAAACACCACAGGACACCACAGATTAAAGATAAATGATTTACCTCTTCAAATACCTGCGCGCATCCTCGTATGAATATTGCAGGACGATACGTGGTAGGCGAGCACTCGGTTAACCGATAAACAAACCGAACGCACTTTTATTATTCAAGATGTGGCAGTCGTGAGCATAACAGAGGGCACAAACACACGAGACCACGTAACCACACGTTTACTTAGAACAAATACGAAGCCAATGATATTTTTACGCACGATTAGTTAGAAAGACACGAGAGTTTAGCTTTTAGATATGGATACAGGACGATATGTCGACGTTTACGAGTATTCGGTATGGAAATCGAGCGAATTCAGTGTTTTCATAAATGCGCTGAAATGCACCTGAAACAAAAACTGTCATGTCATAAAAGTATTACGAAACAACGGATGGCAGCTGAAAAGTCAATAAAGATCGCAGTTTAGAGCATTGTTCAAAACTGACAGTCTGGGTCTAGCGGTATTTTTGTCTGTGTTGGCTATTGACTACAAAACATTTCTATGCCAGAAAGGCAGAAGGGAATAACACGACTTTTTGTCACACCTATACTACCGAAAGCAGAAAAAAAACGAAGCGTCTAAAAGACAACTCTAGAAGACGGGGTAAAGAAAAATTAAAAATGATGACAGAGAAAATTTATGTAAGGATTACTGGAATATGGGCGATTATAATCGTCGAGTAAGGTATATTGCTTTACTTATACAGCGTTATCATAAAATAATGCACAAAATTCCTAAAAAGTGCAGCGGAGTAAAATGAAAATCTTGACATGTTTTTGCATTTTTTTTCAAAAACAAATGCTGCGCATTTTCTTAATTTTGTGCATTACTTTATCAAACCCTGTATTATTCCAAAAGCTTATTTTTTTTTAACAAAATTAAAAAAATCAATGTGTGACGGTCTCAAATTTAAAATTGTAATTGTAATCGTAATTTAAAAACCGAAATGATTGTAGCTTCAAACTGATCATTTACTAAAAGTTTTGCTTTATTTAAGTTTTTTGAAAAAGATTGTTTTTGGAACTTACGGCCTTTTGCTTTTCTATCAAAGATTTAAAGTTAAATATGAGCCGAGATATTTCTTTGCGTCAGGTTTGAACATTGCGAGATTCAGTCCTGTTGGATTTTTATGAAAAAAATTGATGACGTCATCAAAAAAATTAGTAGCTAAATCTTTACCACCTTAAAACTTTAAAGCTCAATCAATAAACAAAAATAGCAAAGAAAATAAAAACAGACCAAAAAATATATTTTTTTAATATACAACAAACCAAGCTGGAAACCGGTTTTGAGTAAAAAAATTGCAGAATTTTAAGTGTATTTTTGTCCCACTTCCGCTGCGGCTGAAGTTTTGGGTCGTGTCAAAGTATTTGTGTTTCTATCTTTTATCGTTTTCCAGATATGGAACAGAAGGTCGGACAAACAAAAACCAATAGCCGTTTCCCTTAACGGCAATGGCTAGAAAAACAACGTAATAAAAAAATCAATCCTTAATCGATTTGCACTATGAATTAATAATAATCACGTTAACTTGAAAAAAATATTTCGTAAAATTAGTTAATAAGAACGTCACTAAAATACGATCGACTCCCGATTACAACTCTTGGCCGATAACAAAAACATTTACGAACAAGGGTGCGAAGTGGCACTTTGCTTGAAATGAAGCATTAAGAATTATACAGACATCTCCCCAGACGACAAGACCGCTTTGACAAAAATGAACTCGACTCAGATTATTTCGGGCTTCTAAATCGACTTATTATTAACAACACGGACCAACGTAAACGTTGATCACCCACTAATAAAATATTTATTGGGGCCTTGGACCCTCGATTACGACCCGAAGGCATGCCACACAAGAGTGCTTGGCTCGATATTTGCATTTCTTTTTCAGTAACGGACAGGACTGAAGCCGAAATTATGCGTTGGCCATTAAACCAACATCGAAAGACGATCGGAAATAATTTTGTGGAATAATATTTATTAAATATTCACTTTCGTGGATTCGGGCTTAATTAAAATGTACCGTTTTAGCTGTTCAGGGTTTACGATGTGGGGTAAACAATTTTTAATGGGTATGTTAGTACCAATAAAATATATGACTCGTAAAATATTGAAGCCGAGGGATGACTAAAGATGGTAGATAAGAATAAGGCAGATTACTCAAGCACCAACAATTAAAATTAAACAATTCGTTTTTACACGAATACTATAACGTCATTACGAAATACACATTCGTCAAAGTAAACAAATTTACCAAAAATTTCGTTATAGGATAATTGAACGGAACTTCAGAACTCACGTTGCCATAAAAACGAAATTTTCGGTCGATAAAATACATCTATATACTTGAAATTTGAACGTAATTGGTTCGATATTTTCGGAATTAATTCAGCAAAACTAAGCTGTGTATCTGACAATTTTTTTTTCTGTTATATCAGACTGTGCCATAAGCACATCCAGTTGACAATTAAAAAATTTCTGACTCAACAAAATTTTACAATTATTGACGAGCATTTTACCGTTACAATCGCTGTTGCAGAAAATTCTACGCTTCATTACATGATGTGACGATTCTGTAACATCACATTGTACTCGTAATTTCGAATCCGGAACAATATCGTCAAATTGTCCTCAATAAAATAAAAAAAAATCTAGATATCTGCATTCATTCTATTCAGCTCGACCCGGAAAGCCGAAACCAGATATGTATATTCAAAAGAATAAAATATTGATTTCGTCGAAAAACAACCAAAAAAGAGACAACCACATTCAAGATCGCCCTCACTGATAATTCTTAAAGTGGCTTCTAATTCCAGATAAAATGTATATTTTTCAACTTCCTTTTTTCCGTGAACTCTCTGAAAAGGAAAAAATACAAAACCGATGTCTGGAAAAAATTATCTTTTTACGGTGATTTGCTGCCGCCGCCGCGTAACGTAATCAAACATTTTTTCCGCACTTTTCGTTTCACAACTCTGACCTTTATTGACTTTACCGCATTTTAATAAAAATCAGAAATTACCTACGTCGAGGTAGACAATATGTTAGCGAAGTCTCGCCGATCGGACACCCAGAGCACACGAAATCTACACGAACAATATTTCTGTCAGGGCATACAATTCGCACAACACAAGAAAAGTTACAAGAAGCGGAAAAGTTGGCATCACTACGTTACGTATCTCGTAATGGACCGACGCTAGACGACGTCGTTGACGCTCGGCGCCGAAAAACCGAATGAGCGCCGTTTGGAGCCATCATGCCGACGTTAGACGTCGCGCGCACTTCTTCTCAACATCATCAACAATGAGTAAAATTGCCATAATTACGTGTTATTATGACGTCTAATGGGTTAAGTGAGGCGTTAAATAAATAATATTAAATAATGCAGTTGCGCGATGGCGGAGGCGCCGGGACAATATCCTCTTGAATATTGGATATGATGGTGGAAATAATAATAAGGATCAGGTTTAATTATTGGATGTCTGCATTGGTGACTGGAATTCTACGGCTTTATTACCTTGCGACGAATCGATATGTCAATTATGCACAAAGACGTCGACAGACAAAAATGCCTTTGTGCTTCATCCACCGGGGCTTTGGGCTGGTACCGAACGTGTTACATTGTGTGACATCTTAATTTTATTCCAGAGTCAAGCCTACAACTTAAAAAATTCAGGATCGTATTTTTGAAAATTCCCACAGCGCTAAAAACAATCCTGATTTGTACTAAGTTTCTCAGTCATTTATTTAACAGTTTAAGTAAACCTTTAGACATCCTACGTAATAAACACAAATCTGATTTTGTAGAACAAGAAGACATTGAGTTTTCTTCTATAGATCCTAAGATTTTTAACTTGTTTCCTTTAGTTTAAACACAATTTGTTCTATTTATTTGGTGATTTATACACGACGCATCGAGTATTGTTTACATTTTTGTAAAACATTTTTCAACAGTCTCACGTTTCCGTTTCTCTGTTGTCTATGCCAAATTTTATTAGATAATTAATCTCCAAAAATCGAAATTTACGTAGTACTTCTTTTTTATTGATAAAATAAGATACTCATGTACTTGTGGTGTATGAATCTGTGTTGAGTTATTGCCCTAGACATCCAGATTTTTGGAAAAAAAATCAAAATTTTATAACAAAAATTTGGCAATTTCAATTCAAAGTTAAATATACGGATTTTTCAGTTACTTATTTCTTCAATTTTTAGATTTTTTCAATTTTTTTAATTTCTTGATTTTCAATTTTTCGATTGCTTCAATTTTGGAATTTTCCAATTTTTCTTTTGGATTTCTCGATTTTGTTTTCGATTTCTCAATTTTCTGTAATTCCGTTAAACGATTTTTCAATTTTTCAATTTTTGGCGTTTCTACAAGTTTTCGATTTCTCGATTAGTAGACGTCTCAACTTTTGGATTTCTCGACTTTTTGATATTTCGATTACTCAACATCTCGATGTCTCGAAGTTTCATTTTTTCAGTGCTTCAATTTTTCAGATTTTTGATTTTTTAATTCTTTTATTTTTAGAATTGTCGATTTTAGATTTATCGATTTTTCAATTTTTCCTTTTATGATTTTTTGGTGTTGCGATTCCTCTATTTTTTATTTTTCGATTCTTCAATCTTTCGACATTTTAATTTTCGATTTTTTAAATTTTAAGTTTTTTCAATTTTTCAGTTTTTTGAATTTTTAAATTTTAAATTTTTAAAATGTTCCAATTTTTCGATCTTTCGACTTTTTGTTTTTTCGGTTTTCGATTTTTCGGTTTTTCTATTTTCGTTTTTTAAAGTTTTTGATTTTTCTATTTCCCAATTTTTCGATTTTTCGGTTTTAAGATTTTTCAATTTTTGATTTCTGGAATTATAAAGATTTCGATGTTCCGATTTTTCAATTGAATTTCCCACTTTTTTGATTTTTTAACTGTTTGGTTTATTAATTTTTTAACTTTAAATTTTCGAATTTTTCGATTTTATGCTATTTTAATTTGTCGATTTTTGGTTTTTTGACTTCTGAACTTTTCGATTTCTCGATGCTTTAATTTTTCGATGTTTTGATTTAACTATTTTTTCATTTTTAATACTTTAATCACAATTTTTAATTCTTCAATTTTTCGATTTTTAACAATTCCGTTTCTCGATTTTTCAGTTTTTTGACTTCTCGATTTCTGGATTTCTCTATATTTTAATGTCTTAATTTCACGATGTTACAATATTTTTTTGTTTCGATTTTCTGATTTTTAGGTTTTTCGATTTTTCGACATTTCGGTTTCTGATTTTTAATATTTTTGGTTTTTTCTATTTCTCAATTTTTCAAGTCTTCAATTTCTCAGTTTTTCAAGTTTTCGATTTCTCAATTTAACATTTCAATTTTGGGAATTTTTCAATTCTTGGATTTTCCAATTTTTCGATATTTTCATTTTTCAATTCCTCGATGTTTCAATTTTTCGATGTTTCGATTTTCCGATTTCTAGGTTTTTCAATTTTTCGATCTTTAAAGTTTTTGATTTTTCTATTTCTTAATTTTTCGATTTTGTGATTTTTCAGTTTTCAAATTTTTCAATTTTTGGATTTCTGGAATTATAGAGATTTCGATGTTTCGATTTTTCAATTGAATTTCCGGTTTTTCGAATTTTAGCTGTTTGATTTATTAATTTTTTTTAATTTAAATTTTTCAATTTAATCCTATTTTAATTTGTCGATTTCTCGGTTTTTCGACTTCTGGCCTTTTCGATTTCTCGATGTTTTAATTCTTCGACATTTCGATTTCCCAATTTCTCAAGATTTCAGTTTGGGTTGTTTCAATTTCTCGATTTTTGAGTTTTCCGATTTTTCAATTTTTAGATTTTAACGAATTTTTGATGTTTCGATTTAACTACATACTTTTTAATTTTTAATATGTACTTCAATTTTTCGATTTCTCGACATGTAGGTTTTTCGATTGATAATTTTTTTTTATTTTTCCATTTCTTGATTTGAAGTTTTAAATTTTTCAAAATTTTAACATGTCACTTTTTTTCAATTTGTTGATTTTTAGATTTTTTAATTTTTTGATATGTATTTTAATTTTTTGACTCACTTATCGATTTTTTTCAAATTTTAAATTTTTCTGTTTTTAATAATTCTTCGATTTTTCGATTTTTAGCTATTTCGTTTCTCGATTTTCAGTTTTTTGACTTCACGATTTCTAAATTTCTCGATGTTTCAACATTTTTTTCTTTCGATTTTCGGATTTCTGCTTTTCCGATTTTTAGACTTCAGCTTTTCAATTTATAAATCTTCCAAATTTTCAATGTTTGAACTTTTTACTTTTTCAAGATTCCATTTTGAGATTTTTCAATTTCTCGATTTTTCAGTTTTTCGATGTTTAGATTTTCCTATTTCTAAGTTTTTTGATTTTTCAACTTTTAGACATTTCGATTTCCCAATTTCTCAAGATTTCAGTTTGGGTTGTTTCAATTTCTCGAACTTTGAGTTTTCCGATTTTTCAATTTTAACGAATTTTTGATGTTTCGATTTAACTACTTTTTAATTTTTTATACTTTAATTTCTCCATTTTAAGTTTTAGATTTCTCAATATTTTAACATGTCATTTTTGTGGATTTTAAAAAATTTTAAATTTTTCAATTTTTAATTCTTCGATTTTTTGACTTCACGATTTCTGGATTTCTCGATATTTTAATGTCTTGATTTCTCGATGTTACAATATTTTTTTGTTTCAATTTTCTGATTTTTAGGTTTTACGATTTTTCGACTTTTCAGCTTTTCCATCTTTTAATTTTTCTGTTTCAACTTTTTACTTTTTCAAGATTTCATTTTGAGATTTTTCAGTTTCTCGATTTTTCGGTTTTTTGATTTTTACATTTTTCGATTTGCATTGTTTGGATTTTAGCAATTGTTTTGATCGTTAGATTCAACTATTTTTTAACTTTTAATACTTCGGTTTTCCGATTTTTCGACATTTCGGATTCTGATTTAAATTTTTGGATTTTTCGATTTCTCAATTCTTCAAGTTTTCGATTCCTCAATTTAACATTTCAATTTTGGGAATTTCTCAATTCTTGGATGTTCCAATTTTTCGATATTTTCATTTTTCAATTCCTCGATGTTTCAATTTTTCAATGTTTAGATTTTTTGATTTCTAAGTTTTTTGATTTTTCAACAATTTCCCAATTTCTCAAGATCTCAGTTTGGGTTGTTTCAATTTCTCGATTTTTGAGTTTTACGATTTATCAATTTTTGGATTTTGACGAATTTTTGATGTTTCGATTTAACTACTTTTTAGTTTTTAATGCTTTGGTTTTTCAATTTCTCGACATCTAGGTTTTTCGATTGATAAAATTCTTTGATTTTTCCATTTCTCGATTTCAAGTTTTAAATTTCTCAAAATTTTAACATGTCACTTTTTTTCAATTTGCTGATTTTTCGATTTTTTAATTTCTTGATATTTTAATTTTTTGATTCACTTATCGATTTTTTCAAATTTTAAATTTTTCTATTTTTAGTTCTTGGATTTTTCGATTCTTAGCTATTTCGTTTCTCATTTTTCAGTTTTTTGACTTCACGATTTCTAGATTTCTCGATGTTTCAACATTTTTTTCTTTCGATTTTCCGATTTCTGGTTTTCCGATTTTTCGACTTTTCAGCTTTTCAATTTATAAATCTTTCAAATTTTCTATGTTTGAACTTTCTGCTTTTTCAAGATCCCATTTTGAGATTTTTCAATTTCTCGACTTTTCAGTTTTTCGATCTTTGGTTTTTCGGTTTTTTGATTTTTACATTTTTCTATTTGCAGTGTTTGGATTTTAGCAATTATTTTGATCTTTACATTTAACTATTTTTTAACTTTTAATACTTCAGTTTTCCGATTTTTCGACATTTCGGTTTCCGATTTTTTGAATTTTTGGGTTTTTCGATTTCTCAATTTTGCAAGTTTTCGATTTTTCAATTTTTCCAATTTTTCGATATTTTTATTTTTCGATTTCTCGATGTTTCGATTTTCCGATTTCGAGATTTTTCAATTTTTCGACTTTTCGACTTTTCATTGGGGTTTTTTAATTTCTCGATTTTTCACTTTTCCGATTCTTTCTTTTCCCATTTTTCAATTTTCTTAGAAACGGATCCTGTACCACACTAAGCTTTCACTATAAATATCAAAATTAAAAGTTTCATCTCCACCAAAGCTTGATGACGTCATCTCATTTTT